GGTAGTGACAACTGGATTTGTCCCAGCTGAGAGCCTGGACCCTCTGGAGACTGGAGCTCTCCTCTGCTGTGTTGGCCATGCAGCCTTTTGGCTTCCTTGGGGCTGGTGATGTGCCAGTCACTGGTATCTCTTGGGCATGGTAACAACCAGAAAGCCATGTCAGTGCAGAGGGAGCAGGGCATGGGCTGGCTGCTGATGCTCTGCCCCGTGAGAGTAAAGTGCAGAGCAAGAAGGCAGATAAAGTCTTCACCTGAACATTTCATTTTGTTGCTGCTACTCCACACACCATGCAAGAGTGCCCTGCAATGCCATACCTGCCAGTGGGCAGGACCTTCCTTGTCTGAGAGGAGCATCTTGCAGCAGATCCCCTGGACCGATAGGTCCCCTTCTGCTGAGACACCCCTGGGGTCCTCATGATTCATCCGATAGCAGCGCTTGGCCTTTTCCATGAAGTGACATTATGGAGAGTGACTCTTGACAAGAGCCTGTAGGGACAGGCCAAGGGGAATGGCTTTAACCTGCCAGAGGGGAGATTGAGATGAGCTCTGAGGCAGAAGCTCTTCCCTGGGAGGGTGCTGAGGCGCTGGCACAGGGTGCCCAGAGAAGCTGTGGCTGCCCCATCCCTGGCAGTGTTCAAGGCCAGGTTGGACACAGGGGCTTGGAGCAACCTGCTCTAGTGGAAGGTGTCCCTGCCCGTGGCAAGGGTTGGAGCTGGATGAGCTTTACATACAGTACACGTTGAACAGATGCATCTCAGCTGATTCAGAGATTTCCTCTTTTCTAGCTCTTTAGAGGTCCTTAAGCACCATTGCCCACCTCCCCCCATGCTGGACATCTTCTCCCTGGGTAGATGAGAAGATAACCCCACAAAAATCTGCAAAGAGCAGGACAACAAAAAAATGTCAGTGCAAGAGTCTTCCTTCCCTACTTTTTACATTCACCATCTTTTGACTGATGTCCCTAAAATAGCCAAAATTCCACTGTTTCTGTGAAACCCCATTGCCGGGAACTAGGCATTAGTTTTGCAACACTCAACTTTCTTGCAAAATATCCTGTGCTTCCTGGTCCAGCCTTGATGTTACCTCCAAAAGTGCTCTCTCCAATATCTCAGTGTTTCTGGCAGGCTGGAGCCTGGAGAAGTGGCCCTGAATTAGAGAACTTTTACCAAGAGAGCAGAGCCACCTTCTTCCTGACAAGAAGGGACATCCAAGCCATTGCCAGAGCATTCATCTGCAGGAGTACTTTTGATAACACGCTGCAGCAGGCGGGGAACTTCCAGCTGATGCAATAGGGAACATTTACACAATTTCAGGCCGGAGCTGCAGTGGGAATGTGCTTTGGAGGGGGCCAATGTATTGCAAAATATGCAGACGAGAAAGGGAGCAAGTCAGCAAGAGGGTGGGGACAGCACAGGAGCAAGTTCTGCTGCTGAGTTCCTTCTGTGTGCTAAGTTTTGCCCCGAGAAGGCTGCCGAGCATTTGGTGGAACATGGGATCTAATGACTTATCCTGAGCTTTTCCATCTCCAAAGAGAAATTTCCTCTTCTTTGCTCAAAATTACTTTTTCCAGTGCACGTGGATGGAGAGATATCTGGGAAAAAGTGCAGGTGAGTCCCTTAATCTGTGTGGATTCTGCTCCCACCTGCCCTGTGAAGGCATTTGTACCTTTGCTGTGGTATGGTCCAACTCTAAGGCAAGGTTTGGAGGAGAGGTGAGTCTGCATTTCCATCCTCCTGGCTCAACGCAGGTCTCCACAGGTCACCACAACAAGCAGGAAGCCTGGTTTGCATGTAGCAAACCCATGATGGGTGATCTCAGAGCCCTCAGTGTGACTGTTCTCACTAAAGAGATGGGAGCTTTGAGTGTCAAAGGTAGCACTTCACCTTCCCAAGGGGTGCTGGGTTCTTTGATGAAGAGTGGGTGGTTTGGGAGGAAGAAAGAGAGTCTTTGGGGCTTGAAATTCTCTTTGGTGGTTCTGCTTTTCAAAGTGCTTGCCTTGAGTGGTAATCCATTCTGCTGTATGGATGTCATTCCAATCTATAAAAAGGACATGAGGGAAGGCCCAGGGAACTACAGACCTGTTAACTTCAGTTCCTGGAAAAATTATGGAGAAGATTATACTGAGTGCTATTGAAAGGTATTTAAGGAGTAATACACTCAGCAGGCATGGAAAACTTGGGTTCACAAAAGGAAAGTCCTGCTTAACTAACTTGATATCCTTCCATGATAAGGTCCCCTGCTCAGTGGGTGGATGTAGCTTTTGGTAGTGTCCCTCAGAGCATCCTTCTGGATAAGTTGTCCAACTGAGGGATGGGCAGGTTCATGGTGCTCTGGGTGAAGGAGTGGCTGAAGGACAGAGCACAGAGGGTTCTAGTTAATGGGGCTGTATCTGGCTGAGACTGGTCATCACTGGTGTTCCTCAGGGCTCAGTCCTAGGGCCAGTGCTGGTCAATATATTTATCAACCATCTGGATGCAGGAGTTGAATGCACCATCAGCAGGTTTGCTGATGACACCAAACTGGGAGGTGCTGTTGACTCTCTTGAGGGACAAGAAGCCTTGCAGAGGGATCTAGATAGACCAGAGCACTGGATACTGGTTAATGGGCTGAAACTGAACAAGAACAAATGCTGGATTCTGCCCCAGGGGTAGAGTAATGCCAGGCACAAGTATAAACTGGGAGAGGAGAGGCTGGAGAGCAGCCCTTCAGAAAGGGATCTGGGGGTGCTGGTCATCAGCAGGCTCAATAGGAGCCAGCAGTGTGCCCGGGCACCAAGAGGGCAAACCACATCCTGGGCTGCATCAAACACAGGAGACCCAGCCAGTCAAGAGAAGGGGTTGTCCACTGAATTCAGCATTGGTGCAGCCTCACCTGGAGAAGGATGTGAAGATCCTTGAACGTGTCCAGAGGAAGGCAACCAAGCTGATGCCAGGGCTGGAAGCCATGTGCTCTGAGGCATGACTAAGGGCTCTGGGTTTGTCTTGTTGCAGAGAAGGAAGCTGAGGGGTGACCTCATTGTGCTCTACATCTTCGTGAGGAGGGGACATGGAGAGGGAGATGCTGACCTCTTCTCCCTGGGATTCAGGGACAGGACACCTGGGAATGTTCAGAGCTGCACCAAGGAAGGTTCAGATTTGACATTAGGAAGCATTTCTTTACCAAGGGGATGTTCAAACACTGGCACCGGCTTCCAAGAGAGGTGGTTGATGCCCCAAACCTGTCGGTGTTGAAGAGGCATTTGGACAATGCACTTAATGATAGACTTTAACTTGGTCAGTCCTGATTTTTTCAGGCAGTTGGACTGAGTGATCACTGATTCTAGCCTAGTCTGGTCCAGTCTAGTCTTGTTGTGTCCCTCTGGCTGCTGCCAGTGCAGTCACTTCCTCACCATAAGGGCAGTAAGCTCTGGGATAGACTTCTGGGAATCCTGCAAAGGAAGCTAAGATGAGTCACAAAAGGGATTATTCTGTGACAGGAAAGGGTGAGGTCTGAGAGGTGTCTTCTTTCTTGTAGGGCCAGTGATGCCAGTAATGGGCAACACAGGAGGATACGAGATGTGTGAAAGTCCTGGCTCACTGGGACCTGAGAGCTATTCATTTTGTTTGTCCAACCCTATAGCTGGGGGGCTACTGGATAAATAAGACAAGTCTATTCTGGGGCAGAGGGCATTGAAGCCATAACTAATTTCTTAGCCTCCTGTATCTCTTCCACTGCTCTGAACCTCTGAACGAAGGCATTAGCACGTGTACAAACACACATCCTATCAGAATGGAGGTCTTCCTCCCTCTGTCTGTTGGAAATGACCTTGCAATGTTGGACCATGAACCAATTCCTCATTAAAGTGATGTCTTCAGTTCACGAAAGGCATTTATCTGGGTCCAGACGGCAGACACTAGATGTGATGTGTATTTTATAGACAATGTAATCCCAGTTGTGATGATTTCTTTGACTTAAATTTAGGATTTCAAATGGAGTAGCTCTTGTTTGACTTGCGACACCAAAGGACGGTCTTTCAGTACCTGCTGATGTGTTAAGGTGACTTTGTTCTTCTTTGGTTTCATCTAGTCTTGTATTATCTTTGCAAATCCCTGGGAACAAGAACCATTTTCAGACCTCGTATCTGTCAAGGCACAGTGAATAAGAAAAGGGCACCTGCATAGTCAGGCAAGAATCTTCCTAATGATAAGACCTGTTGGATTGCACTCCAGAGTAGATGGCACACACATGTAGACCCCTTGTTCTTTTGTTCTGAGGAATAAGGGAATAATAGTACAAACTACCCAGTTAAAGAGCAGTGGATTGCTCCAGGCCTTGCAGCCCTGGTTCTTTAGTTACATCTTTGGAGTACCTTTGATCTGGATCTTTGTGAAGACTTGACAGCAGGTTAAGCCCATCAGTGGAGATTGACAAGAGATGATACTTGAAAGTCCTCTTGTGCTTCAAAGGAAATTCAATAAAACGTTATCCTTGGGTTCCAATGAGGATAATCCAAAGGGATAATGTTCTTTCTGCAGAAACAGCCAGTGCTGCTCGCTGTCAGGGGGAAAGCTGTTTAGTGGGGGTCTGTCAGAAAGGTAAGTCAGAAATGTTTGTTGCTTGGTCTTGTTTGGAACAGTTTGTGTACAGGAACTGGTTTTATTGCCAGGTGATCAAAAGCCGTTCCTGTCCAAACCGATAAGACTCCTAAGAACAAGCTTGGGTGGCTGTGGAGCCTTTTCTGATTGCCCAGGCCACCACAAACCGCTTCTCAGTGCAGGCTGGGTGCTACAGGGGGCCAGAGCTTTTCCAGAGACACCAGAGCAGTCATGACAAGACCCTGGCAGCCCTTTAGACGTCTTGCCCCAGGGTCTGCCCCTTGCAGAGGGGCAGAGGAGATCCAAATAAGCCTGCTCAGGGTCCCAGGGGAATGACCTCCAGAGAAGCCAAGTTGAGTGCTGCAGCTTACGCTTTCCCACCTGTGCTTCTCCCGGCCAGCATAGGCAGAGCCGTGGGGGACTGAGCAGCCGCGTGGACCATGAGCGAGCAGAGTCACGTCAACAGCCTGTTCCTCAACGAGGATGCAGCGAAGCGGCTCAGCGCCGAGAGCCGGGTGCAGCGCCTGAGGCAGGCGGTGCAGAAGCGCGCGGCGCGGGCCAAGAAGCGGATGCACAGCATCACTGCTGAGAGCGTCAAGAGCTTCCTCAGGAGAAACGCCTTCGTCCTCTTCACCATTGCTGCAGTCCTGCTAGGTATGGAGCTGGTCAGGGATGAAGGAAGGAATGGGGAATGAAGGGATGTTCAGTATTGGGGTGCTGAGGTGCTGGCACAGGGTGCCCAGAGAAGCTGTGGCTGCCCCAGCCCTGGCAGTGTTCAAGGCCAGGCTGGACACAGGCTAGTGGAAGGTGTCCCTTCTGTGGCAGGGGCTGGAGCTGGAAGAGCTTTAAGGTCCTGCCTAACCCAAACCATTCCATGATTCTGTGATGATTCTATTAAAAGTTTGTTTGTTCTACTAAGATTTTATTTTATCACAAGGATTTGGCTGGGGACTTACAGCTGAGGAGCTGACAGCTCAAAGTGCTGTCCAGATCAGGAGTACCTTTGTGTGCAAGAGTAACAGACCTTGGAGAGAGGGTGTGTGAGGGACCCCTTGTTGATCCTTGCTGGCTGCAGTTTAGGAACAGTCTACAACAGAAAGGGTTTGATGATCCAGGTCTACTAACCCTCAGGCTTGTTCAGACTTCTTGTGAGCACAGCTACAGACACAAGGGCTCTGCAGGTTCATCCCAACAGCTTCAGCCTGACAGGACCAGAAAGGGGAACTGATGCAAAGGGCTTTGATACAGTGCAAACTAAATCTGCCCAGCAGGTAGTGGATTGTCTCTAGCTTTTGATCCAGGCTATATGTCTCCAACTCACTGGCTGAATTCAGCTTTAAGAGGTGGGTGGACAGAGTCTCTAAACTGTGCAGCGACACTTAGGTTCCCATGGAAGATCCTATCTCTGGTCACAGCACTTTTGTGTTCATGACCTTCGTGGGAACAGAACCCAGAGGAACAGCAGACTGAGCAACAAGGAGACCTATGGTTTAGCATGAGGCTTCTGTGTGTATAAATATGGCACAGATTTGTGTTCATGACCTTCGTGGGAACAGAACCTAGAGGAACAGCAGACAGAGCAACAAGGAGACCTATGGTTTAGCATGGGGCTTCTGTGTGTATAAATATGGCACAGGGAGAGAGTGAGCATGCAGTAAAAACTGGATCACAGCCTTTTAGAGAAGGAAAGAGCATTTACTCCTTTGGGAAGAGGAGGAGCTGAAAGGAGACAAGACAGAGAAGAGCCACGCTGTAGGGCTGAGGGACAGACCACTGGATCACACTGTCCCATTTCCATTCTCATCCTTTCTTGATCCACAGGGATCATCCTGGCATTTTCTCTCCGGCCCTACCAGCTGACCTATCGCCAGATCAAGTACTTTTCCTTCCCCGGCGAGCTGCTGATGCGCATGCTCCAGATGCTGGTTCTTCCTCTCATTGTCTCCAGCTTGATCACAGGTGAGAAGTGGCTTCTGCTCCTTTCAGCCAAGACAGTGATCAGCAAAGACGTGTGCTTGCTGCTGTTGGAGCACCCCTCTTATGCCCCGGCTGGAGGTGCCTGGGTTGGCTTGGCTGCTAGTGACAAGCTTGAACCTACAGCTCTAGTGAACATCATTCACACTCACATCCTGCTTAGCTCAGTAGTGGGGAAGAGAAGCAGAAGGCCTTGTGCTTTCTCAAAAGACTGGGGAGGACACAGAAGTGTTTCCAACACCCAGCACTTGAGCATCGACAAGGATTTCATCCTACGTAACCTCAAAAGTCAACAAGTTTGTTGCCCAAATTCAGCCTCGGGTTTCCTCCAGGGTAGGAAAGGTTAATTTGTGTCAGTCCAAAAGAGCTGGAGTTGACCCCTGGCTGGAGGTCTTGTTTTACCCAGGTCCCCACAGGAGACACACCAGCCAGCTGAGCTTCCACACAGCAGAAGGGACTGCAAGGCATTCCACCTGCTGAAACACCCCACCTTTAAGGACTTAAAAGCCCAGTGTATTGGGAAGGGGTTATTTCCCTTCTGAGCATTTTAGGAGGAAATTGCTGTATTCCCAAATGCATCCCACCAGTGCTATGCTTCTTCATACCCACAAGCCATATTGTCCCACATTGACACAACCCTGGAGCTCCAAAGTCTGCCCCTTGTATGCTGTACTTCCTAGAGACCCCAGCTCCCTGTCCTGCTCACATGTCCTGCACACTCTGAACCTTCCTTGGGCTTCCCTCTAAGACAACAGACCTCACCTTGTCTGTCTGTGTGACTCCCCAGGAATGGCCTCACTGGATGGCAGAGCCTCAGGGAAGATGGGGATGCGGGCTGTTGTTTACTACATGGTGACCACGATCATAGCAGTCTTCATTGGCATCCTCATGGTGATCATCATCCACCCAGGGAAAGGATCTAAGGACAAGCTTCACCGAGAAGGCAGAATTGAGCAGGTGCAGACCACAGATGCCTTCATGGACTTGGTGAGGTAGGTGAACAAGATGGGCTCATGTTGAGATCATACCACTGACATTACATTCCTCCATGGAATATCCTTTTGAGGTGTCTCAGCTTTAGGCATCCTCTTTTAGGGAACGAGGTTTATGGCTGAGTCTTGCCCAGCCTACTGCTTCTAGCTCAGGCTAGCTAACTGGCTGAGCCACTCTGAGGTTGAATGCTTGCCCTAGAGCCCTTCTGTTAGAGGTATTAATGCAAGAGGCCAAGGCATGCCCAGCAAAAGAAGTGATGAACACTGTCAATGACTGCATGTCCTTCCGAAATTCACCCAGCAAAGGCTACTCGAATATCTATCTTCACTGACCCAAGGAAACTGAGGAAGTGATGATTCCCAAGACGTTGTCTCTCCATCCCTTACTGTGACCTTACACAGTGAATTGCAAAGCTGTACCATCCCAAGTGGTATGAAGCTGTGATTCTGAGGTACAAGATAACTGAGAGCTCAATTGACAGCTGTAGAGATGAGGCTGAGGGCAAGGCAGTGTATATGGTATTGTTCCAAGGTTCAGTTGGGTTCAATTGTGCTTTTACAGTCTACCAGTGCTTTACATATGTAGTCTCTTTCCACTTCCCTGAAATAGAACCTTCTGGAGTCTGAAAAGATGCAGGAGGGTGCCTGGCTCCAGAATGGCATAGTCCTGCCTTCTGTCAGACAGAAAGGGCCCATCTGCTCTGTGGCCTGAGCTGGCATCGTGGGAGCTGTGACCTGAGTCTGCTCCAGGACAGAGGCATTGCCCAGGAAGCCCATGTTTTCTTGCTAATCAAACAGGACAATAACTCTTCCCTTGTCTTATCTACTGCAGGAACATGTTCCCGCCCAACCTGGTAGAAGCCTGCTTCAAACAGGTATGAAATCCCACTTGGCCTATCACTTCCCTTTGTGCCCTGTGCCCTAGACCTCCATCCATGGAGGGGTGGAATAGCAATTCCTTTATACTGCATTCACACTTCCCAAAGTGTGACTGCTCCAAGAGCAGTCATTAGCCTGTACTAAAGCATCCCCACACAAGCTTTTCAAGCTGTCTATGGATGGGGGCTTCAACCTCTGTCCCACACTCAGAATCAGGGAGGGTTTCTGTGATCTCATGTAGCAGCCTTGGACTGGCAGTGAAATGGGAGCAGATTCTCCATGGATTAGTCTCTTCTGTAGTGCTGGTGCCCTTGGAAGCAGCCCAAAGGGTTATTGGAGAAGCCAGAATAGAAATCAGTCCTAGTGATATGAGATGCTCCAATGGTCTCTTTTGACCTTCAGATGTGCGAACTTGCTGAAAGCCACATAGGGAGCTTGAGAACAGAGAAGGGAAGTTTCCCACACAGGTCAGCAGGAACTTGCAGTACTGTCTTTAGGAAGAGATGCAAGAGCCTGTTGTCCTGAGCTCCTGGACCAGGCCCTGGGAGCCCACCTGATACTCTGTGTCTTTTCAGTACAAGACGCAGTACAGCACCAGGGTGTTCACCAGAACCGTCCTCCACAGCAGCAATGTCACGGCAGGGGTGACAACCACCCAGATCCCCGCGCCCGAGAACTTCACCGGCATCCTGGAGAACGTCACTCATGCCCTGGGGACCATCTCCGAGGTGCTGACCTTTGAAGAAGTCATTCCCATCCCGGGCTCAGCCAATGGGGTGAACGCGCTGGGGCTGGTAGTGTTCTCCATGTGCTTCGGTTTGGTGATCGGCAGCATGAAGCAGAAGGGACGGGCCCTGCGGGAGTTCTTTAACTGCCTCAACGAAGCCATCATGAGGCTGGTGGCCATTATCATCTGGTGAGGAGCACGGCCGGTTGGAGCAGGAGGTCTGCAGGTGCAGTTTCCGCTGACCTGAGGAGGAGTGGGGTAGCTTTAAGGATGCCATGCACAGGAAAAGCAGATGGGTGCAGCTCTTCTTTGGCTCCATCAGGCTGGAGGGAAAAGTCTGGATGGGATATTTGTTCACATTTCATTTCCTGTTTTGTTTTGTTTTGTTTTGTTTTTACCTTAGAAATATCAGGTATACCAGGACTTGCTTTCCTTGAGGCTGCTGGAAACATCCTTGGAAGACCAGAGAGCTGGAGTGGAAGATCTCTTAGCCTTACCAACATGGGTAGGGTGTGAGGCTTTCCCACCACAAGCTTTCATTCCAGCTATGTTCCAGGGGTCTTAGCTATGAATCACAAGAACCTTTTGCCACTTTCCTGTTACTCAGGGTGGCATCTGTGTGCATTAGCTCTGAGAGCTGAGCTGGGATGACAGTCAACTCAAAGTTCCTGCCTTTCAATTTGAGGTCTCCCAGGTTCTGACTCCTCTAGAGCTCAGCTGCTTGTTGCTTTCTGTGTAAGGCTGAACATGCTACATGGTGCTGAGATGAGTCTTCTCTAGAAGGCAGCATTTTACCAAATCTTGTTATTTTAAGCTCTTTACTTACCTGGGGCTCAAGGTCTAAATAGGAGTTTGTGGTAGGTACTACAAGATGGGAGAGATGTGGGGCTGGCAGAACACATGCAAATGTCTGACAGGGAAGGGATCTGTCACCCCGCAGCCTCTCCCATTTTACATCACTCCAGCTTCCTTTCCATAGTCTTCTAGTCACAGTCTTGTATCTCAGAGCAACATCCTGAGCATGTGGGGACAGGCCTCACACAGAAAGCCACAAAGGGGAAGAACAACCTTGAGCTTATAGCAGAGCATTGGGGAACCCCTCTGGGACCTTTTCCTCCATGGATGAGCCAGAACTTGGGGTCTGACTTTCCTAAGAAGAGATAAGAGGGCACAGAAGAGAGAACACAAACACAGCGAGACCTGCACACTACTCCCAGAGACAGTTTCAAGGTGCCTTCAACACCCCCTCTTTTAGCACCCTCTTAGAGTGAAAAAAGGCAGGTTGTGGATGTATAGAAACTGCCTGTGCCACGCAGCAGGTAGTGTCTGAGAGACTTCCTGATTTACAAACTCCTAATGGAACACGAGGCAGGACTGTCAAGTGCAGCCTGTCAACTCCTTCCTGAAGCCGCAGGCTGCAGGCTGGCTCCCAGGAGCTGGTTTTCCCAGGGCAGAGCTGGTCATTGGCTGCAGCCAAGGAGGAAGAAGGTTGGAGGAAATGAAATATTTGTGAAATCCTGTCCTGAAACTTTTCCAAACCTCTCAGGCTAAGTTGGGGTTTGGCATGTGGACCTCTGAGCCTTGTGCATGAACTGCATGTGAGCTCCTGAGCTGTCGAGGCCCAGCCCTGAGAGGTGAGGCCGCAGAGCTGGGATTTCCTTTGGTCCAGTGACTTGTCCATGTTTAGTTTAGTGCCCATGATACTCTCCATGCCTGTGTTATGGCTTCCTTTCGGTGGAGCCTCACTGCTGCTCATGAGATGCATTGTTATGGAAGGGGGAACAAAAGCCATAAGGAATGGAAAGGATGGCTGCTTTCAGAGGGGTTGGTGTGCCCAGTCCTTGCTATACCAGATATGGATTCTCTCTACGTTCCCATTCCCTAAATGTGATCACCTGAAGGTTACCCAGAGCCTGCAGGACACTACTGCATTTACCCCCCAGTTCCCTGTTTCTGCTGTACTTCCCTGTGCCTCTCTGTTAAAAAAGCATTCTCAGCCCAAGCTCTGTCAGGAAAGGAAGGGATGCTGAAAACTCCTCTTCATAACCTCCCCTATCAATTCCACAAGGAGTCTTGTGGAAACATGTAGGGAACCCAGAAGGAGGAGGAAACCTCCCCCAGTGCCCAAGCCGTGCGCATAACAGGGTACGAGGTCCCTGCCAGCGCAACAAGAGCTGGGGCTGGGTTTGACCATGTGGTGACCAAGACCCAGCTCTCTCCAGGTTTCCAGAAGAGAAACCAGCAGTATCATCCAACGATGAGGCTCAGTGAGCACCTCTGGTGTGCTGGCTTATTGGGGTTTGTGCAGCCAGCATGTATGAAAGCTGCTGTATGGAAGGGTGGGTGCCGGTTCTGAGCATCAACCTTGCTTTTCTGCCACAGGTATGCTCCAGTTGGGATCATGTTTTTAATTGCTGGCAAAATTCTGGAGATGGATGACCTAGCAGTGATGGGAGGCCAGCTGGGGATGTACACACTCACCGTCATCGTTGGACTGCTCATTCATGCCCTCTGCATCCTGCCTCTGCTCTACTTCATCGTCACCCACAGGAACCCCTGGGTATTCATTGCAGGGCTGCTGCAGGCCCTCATCACAGCCCTGGGCACCTCCTCCAGGTATGGTGGCTACACAGGAGTAGGGTTGGGGCTGGCGGGGATACTCTGGGGCTGCTTCTCAGCACTCCAATGCCCTCAGTGCAGCACTGTGCTCCCACAATTTCTAGCAGCTTTTTGCACTGCTCCAGCCAAGCTGATGTGAGAGGGGAAAGATTCCCAATTCCCAGCTCAAGAGCCCTCATCACGTAGCCAACCTCTAACCATCAATTCATGGCCCATGTTCCTCCTTACCAAGCATGGTGGTGACTCCGTGGCACTGAAATGCTGAGCTCAGTGTTTCAAATGTGAAATCCCACTGAAGGGCAGCATTATTCCCCACACACACACCTCTCCCACACATGCACTCACACACATGAGCACATTTCTCTCTCCCAGGCTCACATACTGTATTCAGCTGCATTAAGCTCATCAGAGGCCTGGGCAAAGGTATAAACACCAGTATATTCAGTGAGACTCTGCCATGCAACACAACCAGAGCAAGAGGTTGTAGGTAGCTGCTGTGTCACTAATCCTGTGTTTCTTGTTATATTAATTCCCTGGCAAGTAACAGTCTTTCCCACATGCATTCTCACACTGAAACATGCAGCATTTTTCCTGCTCATGTTCTCTTCCAGAGATAATTATCTGCCTTCTCTGCAAGATATATTCTCACACGTGGGTCATTCTTGTCCTATGCACTGAGTGGGGTGAGAAAGGGCTCAAGTCTTTTTAATAGCTGGCAAAGGAGTTTTGGTCTTGAGGCTCTGTCCTATGTACCTTGAATCCCCGAGCATCACCTTCTTTGGGTGTGATACCAGCATCACCAGCCTCAGGGTTACACAGCCCCTGTCCCAGCCCCCTGAGGAAAGTCATGTCTGAATGTGCAACTGCAGCGTGCACCATATCTGAGGAAGCCTTGCTTAGACTGTTCTTTCTCCTAGCAGCTTCTGGCCTCTGGCTCACATGGCAGGGTGAAAACACAGGTGGGTAAGGTCTTAAACCAGGCAGAGGCTTAGTCCCTCTTCTGAAGTCAGCTTATATCCAATTCATGCTGTTCTGTAAATCCCTTTCAGCTCAGCGACTCTGCCCATCACCTTCAGGTGCCTGGAAGAAAACAATGGTGTGGACAGACGCATCACGAGGTTTGTCCTGCCCGTGGGAGCTACAATTAACATGGATGGCACTGCTCTGTACGAGGCCCTTGCAGCCATCTTCATTGCACAAGTCAACAACTATGAACTCGACTTCGGGCAGATCATCACAATAAGGTGACTTTGGGAAGAGTTTTGGAAGGGCTTCAGTTTTGTTGGCTTATCTGAGGTATGGTCGGGCTCCTCTTGCGCTCAGAAGGTACAATGAGAAAAAAAGAAGTATGGAAAAGAGGGTTGTGTATTCCCAGGTCTGGGGCATCCCTTAGCTCGAGCTGCAGTGTGCAGGCTGTTATGGATGGGTGCCTGGCAGGGAGGAGCTCAGCTGCTGTGTTGATGTCCCCTGTGTCACCATCCTGCTTGGTGACACACAAAGGCTGCCAAAGTGTTTTGTAGATGAAGAGTTTGAGCTACTTCTTGACACTTCACTGTGACTACCTCTTCCCTTTGCTGATAGCTCTGCTTTCCTGTTCCCTCCAGCATCACTGCTACAGCAGCCAGCATTGGAGCCGCAGGTATTCCCCAGGCAGGACTGGTGACAATGGTGATAGTGTTGACATCAGTGGGGCTGCCTACTGAAGACATTACACTGATCATCGCTGTGGACTGGTTTCTGTAAGTTCTCTGCTCAGCAGCACACACTGCTGTGTGCCCCGTGCCAGTGCTTATAGAGTCCTCCTGTACTCCCAGTGTCCCTGCTAAAAGCAGGTTCAATAACTGGTATCATTAAGCTCAAACCACACTTGTGCCCATGGGACCTTTGCACAGTAGCTCTCTCTGCCCATGCTGGAGTCTTTACCCTGTATTTCAGTGACCCAAGGCATCAGCCTGGTCACCCAGCACAATGTCCTTAGTTTGCTTTTAGCCTTAAAAGGCACCCAGAAGCTATGTCCAGACAACAGCGATGGGCTGTGCTAATAACAAGCAAATTCACACTGCAGAGTGGTGGTTCTGTGCTATCAAACCTGGGAAGTGTGAGAAGACAAAGCTGGGGAGTGTTGAGAGGGGTGTAGCTCCTCAGCTACTCTGCTCCATTTCAGCTTTCTTGCCCGTTTAAACCTTGGGACAAGTGATTTCACAGGACTGCTCTTAGGAACGAGATTGAGGAAGACATTTGTGCAGTCCTTGCTCTCTCAAACACAACAAAATCCTGACTCAGGGATACACTATCAGTGTTTCCTCTGTTCTCTAGCTTGTATTGCTGGTTTGTAGCCAAGTCTGCTCCCAGCCATGGCTGAGCAGTTGAAAGCAGAGCCTTGCCCAGCACCTCCACCTCTCCTGTGAACTGTGCATAAGAAAAAGCCTTGTAACCTAAGATGCCAGGTTACCTCTTGTACTTATCCTGAGAGGTTGTGTGCAATAAGGTACCAAAAGCCTTACCTGGTTTTACTATGGAAGGATATGATGGGTTGCGGGACTGGTGATAGCTTCAGCTCTTACAGTTGTGGTG